TAAGTTCCTAACTAGTTAGAAACACATTGATGGTGTAAAACAAGCAAACAAAACCTTTAAAGAGCCCTTTCCCTTTCTATTTCTGTGAGCGTTATTTTCCTATACAAATAATTCCTAAAGTTGTAATAAGCAGCTCCAGGTATAATGCTTTGTCTTTTACCGGGTGAAATGTATAAAACTGCTCTTTCCCTATAACTAAAGGCAGTTTCCACTCATAAACTAAAGAAATAAGGACTGACCGTTTACACACAGGATTAAATGACCTCTACGGTCTAAAGGTCTAAATCAGAGGCAGATCTGTGCAATGTCATAAATGCAAAAAAAGCAAATTGTTTTCTGTGTATAATTATTTGGAAATTAATTTGTAAATCAGTTTAAATTATGGGTCACTTCAACCGCCTTCTACAGTAAAAGCAAAGGAGACATAGCCCATACCATCATGCACACTGATGTTTTATTGGAAATTCACAGCAGAAGTAGGATGAGAAAGAAGCTGCCCAACAACCTGGTTATCAAACACAGCTAGTTTGCACACAGTAACCCGTCAACCCACACAGAACAGCCATATAACAGCATGGTACATGGCAGGATAACCTATATAACCGCCACTGCACTGCCAAACTGAAGATTATTGCCCGTCCTTATTGCCTTTGCATGCTGCTGCCATGTATCAGTGGTTAGAGGCAGATAGAGGAGCCACTTTAACGACACAACTGCTTTTCATGTCGGTCATTTCAGCCATTACCCTATCTCTCTCCACACACAGAGACCAACGGAAGACATTGTCCACACAGTATTAAAAACTTTTACCAAAATGGCTGCTGGACTTGTTTACACCTCATTTGATTTGAAATCCTACAATTGATTTTCTTTTGTCCCCCTGGGCTGAACCAAAAACAAATCAGTTAAGAGAGGTAGGGAGATTACCTCTCTTAAGGATGCAGAAAAAACAACTAAATCAGAAATTGGTAGAAAACGGACAAGATCATCTTCAACTTCATCTCCAACAGCATGTTTATGGACATTAACACAGTTTTGGACTGAAGCCTTGCAGTTGAATGCTGACCTGGAACAAGTCATATCTGTACCTGAGGACGGAAGCATATCTATGTTCCCAGGGTCCTAAGTTCCCTAAACCTAACCCTACAACTGAGAAACACAGGACCCTGGGAACACAGGAATTACCCCCTTTCCAACAACTCACCCCGCTGCTAGTTTCTCCACTGACAGGAGATGGTAACTGACAGTGGCAGCCATGTTGGCACCACTGTGTCGCTGAAGGCTTGAGTGATCCTTAAGGAACTAGTAGTTGCGACACTAGTGACGTCACTTGAGTCAATTTATCCCTCTGGATATACAACTTTTGTCACATATGCAGTAGTACTCCCCAACACGTGTAAACAGGCTTTGATGTGTAAAATTAGTTCCCCTTTAATCATTATCAGTGATGCTATTTAAATTGCTATTGCCACATTACCCTTGCATATGTACCATCATTACCATAGCAACACCCACAGAAACATATTGAGTGCTGTGGCTAACAGCGTCATCCTGGGACAATGTTGTCTTGTGCAGATCAAAGGCACTCAAGTCATATAACTGAAATTTAGCACATGAAGCCCTAACCTGTAACAGGTGTAACAGAGACCGAAAGCTGTCCTCTGTTGGTTCCTTGAGTCAAGCTGTCCCCTTTCTAAAGCCATCCCTACACCACCAGAGCTGGCAGAACATGTAGAAACATTTCACCTCTACACACATTGTTTTTTTTCTATCTATACAAGGTTATCAATTATACAAAGGCTGCTGAGACAAACTGGACATTAAACAGGTCATTTGTAAGTGTATCTTCTCCAAGACACTGACATGAGCTCGCATTTTGCTTATGGGGTTTTCCCACTATTTAACACACAATACAAATATTGGCTGTTGAACTGACAGTTTAAACAGACTGACACAAAGAAAGACCAACAGCAGTCTGCAGAGACGCTGACATTTTCAGTAGGGGAAATGTTTAAGAGCAGTGGTTCCCAACATTTATCCTTGAGGGACACCTTCTCTATCATTTAGTAAACTGATAACCCCTGACTGAGTTTTATGGATATTTCATATTATATTCAAAACTGTACAATGAACCCAGAAGGTGAATTCAGTAACTGCAAGAAGTTGGTGTAAAGAGAGTGATTAGGATGCATTCTGGGAAGATTATTTCCTGTTCAGGGAAGTTTTAAAACAATTCTGTCTGTATTATTATTTTTAACAATCATACAGACTTAATAGGCATAATTTAGTGTTTTCTTGTCCTTGATGCTTTGCTTCACAGAAGTGAACCAAACACTGAGATATAGGCCTACTGTGAAGTTTTTTAGCATGTCTTAAAATGAAGAAGGCCTTTCGACCCCCGCCCCCCCATGAAGTTTTGGCGACCCCCAGGTTGGGAACCAGTTTTAGAAATCCAGTTTAATTAAAATACAAAACCATGCAAGTACATGTGTCCTTAAAAAGTGTACACTCCAGTCTCTTAACTGAATTTGAGTAGTACCAGGATGTCATTTTTGCATCCATTAGGATAGGCCACAGTACAATATTCAGTGGCAGAAATGATTTTGAAACAGGGAGGAGGAAATGCACCATTCCAGCTCAGGTTAA